TTCTTATCAGCACAGGATTTTTAATTTGGAGAATGAACAATTCCAGCAAGTGCATATCTGGACTGGCGATTCTTGGGCTCGCGTTAATGGGCCTGGTTCAACTCGGGTTGTGTCAAGAAGGCCCATCTCCTTCTCCCTCTCCTCTCGCCCCTTCTAGTGATGGTAATTGTCCATTCTTCAAATTTTTGAAATTTTTATGCATTAAAAGAAAAAAAAAATCAATTACTCTTGTAGTAAAAACCAGAGAGACTTTTCTATATAAATTTCATTTTATTAAGAATGGTTTTGAATTTAAAAATTAATTAAGACTTTCAGAAAGAAAAAAAAAGTACTCCGTAAGAGGTAAAATTCTAATGGGATTGCTTCTTGGTTATTATATATTCTTTGTTGACCTTAAAAAAGCTAATTAAAAATGGGATTGATTTTGGTTTGGGACGCAGGGGTTGCGGTGGACCAAGGAATTGCTTATGTTCTTCTGCTGCTTGCGCTCGCGATTACTTATTTGGTCCATTAATTAGCTTTGACAATTCTTTATTTCGTATGTAGGCAGTAGTAGAGTTTCATTCTTTATTTTTTCTTTTTATTGAAGGGATTGTAAAGACGATTAATCATTATTATTATTTTAATAAATTCACGATATTATTCATTCACCATTGATGCGGGTAAATTCAACCGGATAGGGAGTGAACTGGTACCGCATTTTCAGCTAGAAAATAAGAACACAGCAAAGTACAAAAGATTTTTTTTTTTAATAGCAGAATTGAACAAACCAGAACAGATAGCAGAATTGAACAGACTAGAACAAAACAGATGCAGCAAAAATAGCAGGCCAAAGCAGAACAAAATAACCTCATTACATATACACCGAAACCAAATAACAAAACTTTTAACAAAGTACACATATTATAGCATCACAATATAATAAGTAAACTAGATACAAACAAAAAAACTCAATACAAACATATGAAACTTATACTTATACTAATTCGTCAAGAAAACTACTGGACCAAAACTCACGAATCTCATCCAATTCCGCTTCCGTGCATGGTACCGTAGAATGAAAAACCTACAACAAGAACGAAAATATATAACGGTAAATCTTAAATAATCATGTGATGTAATGTAGTTACATATCCACTCGAAAAACGCATTTCGGAAACGTCAAACCAAAAAAATGATAGAACAAGAGAAAAAGAATTACCTTCACCACTTATGTGAGGCAAGCATTTCAAGAATCAAGGACAGCTCCAAACTCGGAGATATTTAAAATTTACTCCTAATTGACCAAGCGTAAAAATAAAGAAGTGTTAAATTGTACTCTCTCCGTCCTAAAACTTACTTCCCGGGTTGACTTTTCTTCATTTTTAAGGGGTTGTATAATTAGGCCTTGACTTCCCATTTTACCCCTCTAACAAAAAAAGTTGGAAATTGAAAAAAAAAAAGATACGCCATTAGGGAGAAAAGCACACAAAACATTCCATTAATTATTAAACACAAAACATTCAATTTAACATAAACAATTTAACATAAACAAGGACAGCCCCCTTATAAAGCAAAAATCTGAAACCCACTAGCATTACCAGTCAGGAGGGAGCAAAATACAGTCAATCCCTCCAAAATTTCAGTTTGGAGGGAAACTTCCCTCCAACACAAAAATAAAAACTACAGATTCTCCTGCAACTACTACACTATAAAAAGCAAACCTTTCTACTATTAGTAACCCCAATACTCTTCCTTCCTTCTCCTCTCTTCCCATCAGTTATGCCCCCACCAGTGGCAGATTCTCCTGCTTCTCTCTCTCACCATTCTGCTTTCATTGTTTCCCCTGTTCCCTCTTTCAACCCAAGCCGTCATGAGAATCTGCAAAGTAAACATCAAGAAATTACCAAAAGACAATCCAACACACAAAGACAAAGAATTGTTGAACTCATCCTACTATATTCAAGAAAGAACATCTCAGGGCAGTACACAGCTTAGAAAGGGATTATCAGCAAAGTTGCTGCAGATTTTAATGTTTCAAGAAGGACAGTAGGTGCCATATGGAGCACAGCTAGAAAACAACTACTAGAGGGTGTTGCCATTGGTGTGAAAAGCAGACTTCCAGTGAATTCAGGCAGAAAAAGAGTTTCTATAGACATTGAGACCATTGGAAACACTCCTCTTGCCCAAAGGACAACCATTAGATCACTGGCAGCTTCCCTCGGTATGTCTAAATCAACAATTCATCTTTGTATTAAAAGAGGTTTGCTAAGAAGTCATTCAAATGCAATCAAACCCTTTTTAACAAATGAAAACATGTTGAATAGATTGCAGTTCTGTTTCAATCAATTGGAACCCACTAGCATCCCATGTAATCCCAGATTTAAAACATTTCACAATGTTCTGCACATGGATGAGAAGTGGTTTTTCATGTCTAAAACATCACAGAAGTATTATCTTACCAATGATGAGATGGATCCATACAAAACATGCAAGTCTAAATGCTTCATAACTAAGGTCATGTTCTTATGTGTTGTTGGTAGACCATTCATAGCAGAGAATGGAGAGATTTTATGGGATGGAAAAATTAGAATATTTCCTTTTGTTGAAACTGTGGCTGCTAAAAGAAAAAGTAAAAACAGGGAGGCAGGTGTATTAGAAGTGAAACAACTTCTGAGTGTCACCAAAGAAGTGACTAAAGATATGCTGGTGAACCAGGTTATCCCTGCAATTAGGGAGAAGTGGCCCTCTTTCTTGGATAGGAACATACTTCTCCAGCAAGACAATGCAAAGCCACACATTTCTGCCACAGATCCAGAGTTTATGGCAGCAGCAAGTGGGAATGGCTTCAACATCATCCTAACTAACCAACCCCCCAACTCCCCAGACCTCAACATTCTAGACTTGGGTTTTTTTAGAGCCATCTAATCACTGAAAGAGAAAACTGCTCCTAAAAATGTGGCAGAGCTAGTTGAGGCAGTTAAGGGTGCATATGCAGCACTTACTCCACAAACATTGAAAAAAGTATGGTTGAGCTACCAACATGTGATGCAGGAAGTAATGAATAATGATGGAGGAAACAAGTACAAGCTACCACATATGGCAAAGGACAGGTTAGCTAGAGAAGGAACACTGCCAGTGACTCTAAATGTACCCCACACACTATTGCAGAAGACAGTAAGGGTGCTGAGCAATAGGTCTGTGCAAAATGAAGAGCAAGTATTGCATCAGTTCATGAATGAAGATGGAGAAGAGTTCTCATCTTCAGAAATGAACTGAGTGTGTTTCATAACACCAAGGGGTTTTTTTTGTGAATGACTGGGTACATGTTTTTGGCTTTTGAATTTTGTATATCTAAGTAATGAAGAGTAGGTTAGTAAGACCTTGACTTTTTTGTTTCACCATCAAGGCAACCACTCGAAATGTACTCCAGTAGGTTTTCTTTTACTACCACTCGCATTATGTACCTTAATGAACTACTTGACCTAGACAACTTAATCACATGTTCATCATCGCTATGTATGTAGTATAATGTGTGCAACTACCCATGAAAATGCAAAGAATAAAGAAAGAGTAACTTCACTTTCCACTCCCAATGAGAAAGCAAGCCTGGAATTGGTTGAGCTGTGCCAACCCCTTCTTCCAGTAGACTAGAGTGGCTGCCCATCTCAAGACCTGGCTGCTCTTCATCCAATTCACTCCCAAAGCTTCGCATCTGCTCATCCTCCATCTCACTTTCCTCGTATTCGCTGTCAGCAATGACTATGCCAACTTCAGAGCTGGTCTCAGTGGACTCACTCTCTCTGTCCTCACTGTGTAATGAATCGATAGTCTCTCTCTCTCTCCGTTCTCAAACCTCTCATCTTCGGGCTTCATCCCTTGATAGTATTCAGCGATTTGAGATTCAACAAGTAACTGGATCTCAAAAATCTAAGAATCCATATCAATGTTGGGGATGAAGATTAGATCTAGGGTTTTGTGGGAGAAGGAATTTACAAAGACACGAATAGAGGGTGAGACGGAGAGGAGGACACAGAGATGGCGAGGACGAGAGATGCAAAAACGGCGAGATGGAGAGATCTAGATCTAGGTTTAGAGAGAGGAGGCGAAGAGTACAAGAGTAGAAGATATAGTGTGGCGTAAATGTGGAGTTGTGGTGGTTGTGGCGTAAATGTGAAGGTGGGGGTATTTTAGACATTACACACCCTTTTTAAGGGTGTGGGAAGAAAGTTTTAGGACGGGGAAAAAGGGGAAGTGGGAAGAAAGTTTTAGGACGGAAGGAGTAATTGACTTTCAATTTTGCCCTTGATATGATAGATAAAGGTAAGATGTGATAGATAGATTATTCGAAAAAAAATATGATGTGATAGGTAGGATTTGAAAAAGTGAGATAAAAATAGTTTTTTAATAAAAATGGAAGTATTTTTCTGTGAGTAGAAAAAATGAAAGAAAAAATATTTTTAAGAACGAAGGGTATAAAGTTTAGTACAATTTAGTCCAAATTGCAATTTCATCGACTCTTAACGCTATGTTTGGTTTAAGGAATTTTGAAGAAAAAGAAAAGAAAATGGTTTTCTCTCATTTTTCCTCACCAAAATGAGAGGAATTTGGTTTTTCCTCCACTTGGTAGATTTTGCCTTCTCATTTTTTTTCCTTCCACTTTTCCTCTCTAACCAAACAAGAAAACGTGTTTTCCACTTCATTTTTTTTTCTTTTCACTTTTGAATTTCTTGGACCAAACATAATGTAAATTAAAGTTTACGTGTGACATACACCCCACCCTTGTGGGCCAAAAGTTATGAAACCCAACTTTAAGAATTCAACACGGTGAGCTGGTCTCATCATGACCTCAACCTCATCAAAAAAATTAAATGGACTCCTAAGCTAATTACATATGCCAATATTGTCAAAAGGAGATAAATTTATTTCTCATTGCTTGCGTAAATTTCAAGTAATGAACTCCATAGTCTTGCTGACTGTCCATCGTGATCTATAGATGAACAATACTTTAATACTTTGTTAACCATTATATTCCATTCAATAAAAAATTCAAACTTTTGATTAGGCAATAAAAATTGATTAATAATGAAAAAAACCATAAGGCATCAATTAACAATAACCCTCGGTGCATGCATAATATTCTTGGTCAAACTAAGCCAGCCAATAAATCCACTTATAAACCCACTTTAATAAGTCTTCCAGCCTCAAACAAAACTCTCGATCTCAGGATAAGATCTTCAATATATATACATGCATATATCAAAGCAACTACTGGCAATCTTGAAAAGAGCTATATATATGTGATCAGAAATGGAGGCTACTAATAATAGATGGTACAGAAGCTTTAGCACAGGAGGAAGAAGCATCCGGCTGGGCCGCCGCCATTACGCCCCCGGGCTTGAGCATGGCGGCGACGACGACCGAGCCGCCGCTAGAAATGGAGTAGCCAGAAAAGGGTCAATTTGGAGACAAATATGGAGGAAATTCTCGAAAGAGAAGACGAGCAAGAACGAGAAGAAGAAGAAGAAGAACGTATTATTGGAGTTCTCGAGGTCGGTGCATGTACAAGTCCCCAAGTACGACGAGCACAGCTACTCGCAGAATTTCGATAAGGGGTCCAACTGGGACGAGCCCGATCGACTCTTCAAATCTTTCTCCGTTCGTTATGCTGATCCATCAAGGGCGACATTTCTCATCGACCTCAACACCTCTTAGGCCCAGTTTGGTACACTGAATTCAAACTATGGAACTAGAATTAAGGACTTCAATTTCAATTCTTATGTTTGGTAGCACAAAAATTATGTGGATTTGAAATTGACAGTGTAAAAAATGAATTGGAATGGCGCCGCAGTGGCGGATCCAGGATTTGGAGCAACTGGGGGCAAGAGTAGTACGAAAGTTCGAGGGTAGTGTCCCATTTTTTAAAGTGAAAATTTGCACGGAATATGACTAAAACATAAGTTATTTCCCAATGTAAATTTTTTAAAAAATAATAATATTTTTTTAAAATCAAAGTAAATTATAAAAAAATATTTTTTTTAAAATCAAAGTAAATTATAAAAAAAATTAAATAAAACATTCAAATGATTAATGAAAAATCTCAAAACCACTCTCTATCATTTTACTTTCTCTTATAATTTTTATTTTTGAATTATCTTCTACTCCGTAGTTAATATTATAGTTTAATTTTAATTTTGAAATTCTTTTATTTTTAGTTTAAAAAATAATTTATTCATTTCAAAAAAGTCTAAATAATTCATTTTTCTATTTGAACATTTTTTTCATTGGGGGCAAATTATTTTTTTATTGGGGGCAATATTAATTTTTAGGAAAATCTTAATGTATTAATTAAATAAGAACAAAATTTTATTGGGGGCAAGTGCCCCCATTAGATGAAGAGTGGATCCGCCCCTGGGAATGGGTGAATTCAATTCTATGAAATTGAATCCCCATGGAATTTCAATTCTAATTCAATTCCAATTCCATCAATTCCGTATACCAAACGGATCCTTAGTATTTTTTTGTTTAAGTTGGAATGCCATAACAATTGATTTCTTTTCCGTTAACTATCGGACCACCGGTACTAAGATGGGGGTTCATCTTTTTTTCTATCTTGTATAAAAGGGGCAAATCACCACTTATATTTCCATATTCACAAACTTTACAAACTTACTATTTGTAGTTTAAAATTTCATTTTAAAATCATTTTAGACTATTTAATTTTTTTCATTGAAGTTCACAAATAGTAAGTTTGTGATGTTTGTGACCATTATGTTTGTGAACCAAGCATTTCCCATTCTACCTTCATGTGTACAAAATTTATTTAGAAGAGCAATTCTAGGGGTACACCTTTGGTGTACCCCAAATGTACACCACCCCTTTCTCCACCACCTATTTTTATTTGATTATTATTACTCCCTTCATCCTACAAAAAACTTCCCATTTGGATGTATTTTTGGTCAAACAGTTACACACTTTGATCATAAATTAAATATAATCTATATAAAGAAATGCTAAAAAAATTTGAGATGTCAAAACTAGATCCTAAGATGAATCCAATTATATTAAATTTATTTTATAATTCAATATACCCTTCTCACAATTTGTAGTCAAAGCGTGTAAATATTAGACTAAATACTACTCCCTCCGTCCTAAAACTTTCTTCCCAGAGCACTATTCCAACTTCACGAGAATTTATATTTATTTGTGTTTTTTCATGGCCTATATGATAAAATAAAATATTTTTGTCAGCACTTGTTTTGTTGAACTTTTGATGTAGTTTTTAAATATGTATGTTTTATTTTTTATTTCTATACCAATATTTAAATAAAATAGATTGAAAAAACTTGAGATTTTTCTTCGTTTTGCGCAACGGGAATAAAGATATAGGACGGAGAGAGTATTCAAAAAGGGAACTTTTTGCGGGACGGGGGGAGTATTTATTTATTTTTGAGTTTCTTGCCTTTTTATATGTGTACAAGAAAGGGGTGGAAGACAAATGGGGTATACTTTTGGTGTACACCTAGCATTTTTCTATTTAGAAATATAGAGAAAATATTTCACCTAAATTATTAGGTAATGACATACCCCCCGTTCCATAAAATCATTCCTCTTTCGTTTTTTTGTAATTCATTAAAACACTTCCACTTTCTATTAAAAAAACACTTTTACCTCTACTTTTTCATACCTTACCTATCAAATCTTACTTTTACACTAATAACCAAATTATCTCATCTTATTTTTACCCATCACATCAGAGACAAAATTAAAAATTAATCAAAATTATACTTTCCTTATTTTAGTCTAAAGTTAAAATAGAAATGGTTATAAGGAATGAAGGGAGTATGTTTTAATACTATATATTTCAAATTTTACAAATTATTATTTCTAACTATTTAGAAAAGAAGTATTGAATGAATCCAAACTTTTAACTTTTGCGAATTTTTATAAAATTTCTTATAGTTCCGTATACAACACGACCGCTTAAAAGGCTCCCAGACGCTTTGATAATTTGGAAAGCTAAGTGCTTGGGCTTCAAGATAGATTTGACATTTTGAAACGTTAGAATTTCGAAAGGTTGAGTTCCAATAGTGTTTGGGCATCAAAGTTTTAGTGTAGCCCAGATACATTGAACTTGTTTGGAAAAACATTTTGTCGTCTAGCATTGTACTTCGCTTCCATAAAAATTTTATACTCCGTACTTTTTTTCATTGCTTCAAAAAATGTTTTCATTAGTACTTTATTCAATAATGGTCATTAGTTTTGTGTAAAAATTTTGTTTTTTTAAATAAACATACCAATACATATTCCACCAGTTCAAAACATATTTTTTTACATAATTAAAGTATATCTATAAAATATTTTTTAACTTTATCGATGTTTTGAAAAATTAAGTTTTGTATGGTTATTAAAAACAATAAATCATTTCTATTTTACTACTTTTAAAGAAAATACTTATAGAGTCTTTACTCTTTAGTGTATGTACATCTATATTCAAATTATATTATTTGAAAAAAGATATATCTTAGAGTTAAAAAAATATTCATCTAACACATATTATGTCAATAGTTATAGGAAAACTAATATAAATAAAATTATATATATATATATATATATAAAATTTAGAATATATATGAGCCCGTGCGAAATACGGGATTAACACTAGTATGGTGTAAAATTGAAAAGGGTCTATGCAGTGGTATATATTGAGGAAAGTGAGTAACAACTTTTGTTGCTTTTGGGTGTTACATATCCATCCAAATGTGACTATGTGAGCATTATGGGGGGGCATCCGAGCTTGCAGCTGGCTGATACAAACAAACGAACGGTTTCTAAAATCTTCAATAATCTCTTTCGGAGACTATTCTCAGGCACACCCACCCACCACGCCTACACCTAATAAATGTTAGTACCCCAAAATAATACCATGAAAAAGAAAGGAGTGAAAATATATATACTCCCTCCCGTCCTAAAAATATAGAGAATTTTGATTTTTAATAAATTTAAAAAGAGTATATTTCGGTGTTCAATTTTTAAACATATCCTTTGATATGATGATTAAAATAGGATGTGATGGATAGATTAATAGTTAATAAATGCGATGTGATAAGTAGTTTAAGAATTAGTAGTGATAAAAGTGAATTTTTAATAGAAATAAAAAAAGTTTTTTATGACGGATGAAAAAGGAAATCTGGGATGGAGGGAGTTCACACACACACATATACATATATATATATATATGAAATATTTGCACTAAATAGCACTAAAACTTAAGTCATTTCCCTAAATAGCACTTAAATTATTTTATTCCCTAAATAACACTTAATAATATCCATAATGTCCAGTGATACAAATATTTACTCGAATAATGACTAATGCATAATGACTAAAAGTGCTACATTGGGAAGAAAAACACATGTGGTGCTATTTAGAGAAAGTCATTATATTTTAATGCTATTTTAGTAAATAAGTAAATTTCTATATATATATATACACTCCAAAGCGCACCAGCAACAAAAAAATATACGGAGTAATATAGGAGAGAGATAGAAAGGAATGGCACCGGCACAGTGCAAAGGGAATATGGAGGGGGAGTATCATGCTATGCTTCCAAACATAAAGTTCACCAAGTTATTCATCAATGGAGAGTTTGTTGATTCTCTTTCAGGTACCCCTCTCTCTCTCTCACTTTAATTTTTGATAAAGTATGAGTTAATTTTGACTCCAAATTCAAAATCAACTTGGAGGTAGGTGTAATGGAAGGGTGAAATGTATGTTCGGGTCGGGGCTGAGTGAAAGGGTTACCAAGATTAGAGATGGTATAAACTGTAAATTTACGAATGGGGCATCGGAGCATACTCGAATTATCCCATGATATGTCATGGAAACCAAGGATATGTTAAATTCAACAAGTTTTAATTTAAAATTCTAGATTGTTAAGGAATGTGATGGTGTAAATTATTTGACCGGTTAAACTATACTAGACCGGGTCTAGAATAGTTGGCTTGATTTGGTAAAGTAAGAAAGGTAAAAACACGCAGAGTGACCGGTAGGACTTTAGGTGGAACACCTGTAGCCCAATTTATATTATAACAGAGAATGCACGAGTGCTTTTACAAGGGAGTTTAGAGAGAATGAATTCGGATCCCCTTTTTCGAGGGTTACAAGAGGTATATATACTACGCTGGGGGACAGGACCACGTGCGCCCACGTGGGGGCACGCTGCTGATGTGGTGCGAGGTGACTGTCCCTGAGCTGCCTTGTCATCTTGCGAGGGGGGTTGTGCCCTTGTCGTGTTCTGGTTTGGAAAAGTTCCTTCGGCATCTCCACTGATTCTCCAGTAATGCCAGCCACAACAGTCCAAGTCCTTTTGGACTCTTCCTGCCGACACCCTTCAATCTTCGGAAACTTCACCGGTTGGTTATTGAGGGTTGGATTAGCTAGCTTCGAAGGATGGATTTAGACGATAGAAAAGTTTGACCGGTATACTATCCGAAGTGTACCGGTCAACCTTTTGGTCACCCATCTATAAGTAGCTAACAATTAAGTAAAATTTGTACTAAATAAGATTAAAACATAATTCATTTTTTAATATAGGACTTAAATTTTTTTATTTTTTAGAAATAATGTTCAGTGATGACGGATAATTATTTGAATAATGAATAATGTATAATAACCAATGATCTTATATTAGGAAATAAAAACATATGATCTTATATTTAAAAAGTTTTTATGTTTTAATCTTATTTGGGTAAATCCCCAACAATTAACTTAATTTAAATTTTAATCGTAGTCTTCCTTTTTTTGGATATTATTTCCTCCGTCTGAATTTGAGTTGTATGCTTATTTTTTATATAGTTTTTAAATATATAAATTTTATTTTTAACTTACAAACCTTCAAATAAATTAATTTAAAAATAACTTAAATCAAATTTTGTAAACAACAAGAGACGACTCTTTTACTTGGAGGGAATATACCGATTAGAATTTTACTCCTCATTTATTTGTGACAAGCGTGTTTTTTTTGTTTGGCGTGAACATCAAAGAAAAATAAACATTAGGACAAAATTGTACGTCCATCCCAGCAAATTAGGTCTGTTTTTTTGTTCGTTACAATTTTTTGTGGATGATTATATTTACTCCATTATTTGGGGAGGATTTCCATGGCATTATCATGGGATGGCCTGGAGATTGGAGTGCTCCGATATCCTGTTTATAAAATCCTGTTTAAAGAAAAAAATTTCCAAATTTGATTACAATATTTACCATTCTAAAATTACGGCAACTTTTATTTATTTGTGTGTTTTCAGTAATTATTTGATAAAATAAAATTCTCGTAAACTCAAATATAAACCACATACTGGTATTTAAATTGTGGAAAATATATAATTAATTATAATTATGGTGTATTTACCTATATAGTACTAAAAATTGTACTTTTTTCCAATGTAGTATCATATGTTTTTATTTCTCAATGTAATATCACTATTCAATATCCTCTGGTCTTTGTTCAAGTAAATATCGACCGTCATCTAAATCTCTATCATTACTGGACACTGTTCCTGCCACTACATATTATTCAAATACTATTTAGAAAATTAAAGAAATGTAAGTACTATGTTGGGAAAAGGCATTCTCCCTCCGTCCAAAAAACTTCTTCTTGTTTCTTTTTTAACGTCTCCCACAACATTCTTTTCAATCATATCCTTTTAATAATAATCTACACATCATATCTTACTTTTACCTATCATATTAAAGGTATTTTTGGAAAATTAACACAAAAATATACAAAGTATTTCTTTTAAATTTTTTGAAAATCAAAATGAGAACATCTTTTTGAAACGGAGAAATTCTGTTTTTGTATGATTTAGGGGGTGTATTCAATCTGGATTCTGTAGTATTTTTTTGGATTTTAAAAGTCTGTGGGTATTGAATTCAGATTTTAAAAAGTCGTTAAAAATCTAGATGTATTCAATTCAGATTTTAAAAAGTCATTAAAAATCTAGATTTATTCAATTCAGATTTTAAAAAATCTTTCTAAATCTAATGGTATTCAAAAATTGATAGATTATTAAAGATTTTAAAATATGTAGATTTTGATGGATTTTTAGCCCTTGGATATAAATACAAATCCACCACCAAATCTCACGCCAAAGATAGGGATTTTGACAACTCTTTCATCGACTCCTTCATCCCAGACGATTTCCCCGTTACGCCGTGAACAGTGCCGGGAAGAAATTGAGGCGGAGGAAGATGTGGATCCGGACAGTAGATCTGGAAGATCTTGCCGCGGAGGATGTCAATCCTGACCTATTTTGCAGCGATTTTGCTGCCGAAGATGCCCTCTTCTCTCTGTTCGCCGAAGATTTTGCAGCCGAACTGCTCTTCTCTCTATTCGCGACAGAGGATGTCAATCCAAAGGGCGTAAGAGATGGCCAAGAAAGAAAAAGGAAAAAAGAGAAGCGGCAGGTTCCTGGGAAGAAAACGGAAAAAAGAAAAGAAAATAAAAGAAAGGAAAGCATAATGGGAAGAAGAAAGAAAGGAGAGGTGNCGAAGATGCCCTCTTCTCTCTGTTCGCCGAAGATTTTGCAGCCGAACTGCTCTTCTCTCTATTCGCGACAGAGGATGTCAATCCAAAGGGCGTAAGAGATGGCCAAGAAAGAAAAAGGAAAAAAGAGAAGCGGCAGGTTCCTGGGAAGAAAACGGAAAAAAGAAAAGAAAATAAAAGAAAGGAAAGCATAATGGGAAGAAGAAAGAAAGGAGAGGTGCCGGCGGAGGTTCTTGGGAGGAAAAAGGGAAAAAAAGAAAAGAAGAAGAAAAAAGAAAAAAAAGGAAAACATAATCTTCATGGATTATAAACAATCTTCCATAATCTTATAAAATCATATTCATAAAATACATTAAAATCTATCTAACTCTGCGTAGATTTAAAATAATCCATTGATTTTAGAAAGTTCATGAATTTTAAACAATCTATCATAATCTTTTAAAATCTAGATTGAATACACCCTCCTTAGTGAAATTTTTCTATAATTATATTAGACATTTAGACCATCTAATTTCAGTTGGCCAAAGGTTCATGGTAGATGTGCGAATATCATATATTGAGTGTGTATGTGTATATAGGAAGAAGATTTGAGACAATAGACCCGAGAAATGGAGAAGTGATAGGAAGAATAGCCGAAGGGGACAAAGAAGACGTTAACTTAGCCGTCAAAGCCGCTCGCCGGGCGTTTGATCATGGCCCATGGCCTCGACTTTCTGGCACGGTACGCGTATGCTCCTACCTTCGTTTTTAATTAGCTGGAAAAATGGGCTTCACGCACCGTTGACGTGACATGTGAGTGTTAGAGCATTAATAATGGCAAGACGAAAATAGAATGTCACACGGTGATATGGAGTGGGAAGTCCTACAATGACAAGTCATTATTTTTATCACTTTTTTACATTTTTTATGTTTTTTAAACATAAAAAATATTTTTATTATTTATTTTATTAAAAAATTATTCTACTTTCTTTTACATTTTTTTTCATAAAAAATTTAAAAAAAAAATTATTTTAAAAAAATAAAAAAAAGAAACATGAAGTGCCACACTCATGCCTCAACAAGCTAGTTTTGGCCTTGTCATGCCATGATATGAGTGGAAGAAGATAACGTGGCAGTGCAAGACATCCCTTTTCCTTGTCATTGCACATGCTCTTATAGTTCTAATTTAATTGTGAAGAGAATATAAAAAGATAAATATTACTCCTCCCTCTAGCTTGGTTCTTTCAATTTTTACTTGAATGTTTAACTTTTTAACATTTTGACCATAAATTTAGGAAACGATTTATTAAATTGTAATATAAATTTAATACCAATAGATTTATCTTGAAATATAATTTTGAAATATTATATTCTCATGATATATGTTTATATATATAAAGAAAGATTTTTATTGTCAAAATATCACATGACCATTCATGTCAAAATTGAAAGAACCAAGAGGGACAAAAAAGGTACATTTTATAAATCACGTACGCCTTTGTAAAAAAATCACAACTCTTTCTATAGTTTGAGTTTTTATTTGAACTGTTGCATATGGCTTTAAATAAATACAAAGTAAATATTATAAAATTTTAATCAAAATATATTAAATCTACATTATAACTGAATATATATTTTCCATAATTTAAGCTCAAAGTTTGTAGAATTTAAACAAGAAAGTCAAATTGTACAAAAATAGTATTGGACAAAAAGTACTCTATTTGTTTCAAAATGAGATTTTTCTTAAGTATTTTTCATGATCTACAATTAAACATTTTAACCATACATTTACTATATTTGGAACAAAATGTAACACTATTTAGTTCAAAGAATTTAAACGAGAAAAGAAGGAAAAAAAATTAAACTTTGACAACAATAGCAAATCTAACAAGTTCTCATAGAACATAATCTTGAGTCAATCTCAATGTACTCAAACTTTCCTTCTAGGTTTTGTTACTCCCTCTATCTGTCCTAAAAGGATTGTCACAGTTTGACTTTTTTAGTCAAATTGTGACATTATTTGACCATGAATTAAATATAGTTTAAAATAATTAAAAATCATTTCCTTTGTCCCATAAAACTTTTGAAAAAACGAGAAAAGGTGCGCCCTGAAAATGGACTATTTTTATACTCCCTCCGTCCATCAAAGATCTTCTCATTGCGCATTACGAGATTTGACCGACTTTATTTTTAATTCAATTTATTTGATTGTAGGAATAAAATTTAAAAATAAAATTTATATAGTAAAAAAATACATAAAAAGTTCTACAAAACTAGAGGTGACAACACTATTTTATTTTATGAAATGAGTAGTAAAAATAAACAAACAAAGTGAGTAAAGTTTGACCCTGTGAATAGTGTCTGGGAAGATCTATGGTGGACAGAGGGAGTATTATTTTTTAATTATGACTCGTCTATCATATAAATCTTATTCTACTTTATTATAAAGTAAGAGCAAAATTAAAAATAATATAAAAATTTACATTTTTAGGGCACACCTTTTATCTTTTTTGAAAAGTTTTATGGGATGGAGATAGTATAAAAGTTTGATATTTCAAAATTATATCTTAAAATAAATCCAATTTTACTAAAATATCACAGTTTTACCTAAAAAGTCAAACTGTGACAATTTTTTAGGGACGGAGAGAGTATTATACTACTCCGTATTATCTAGTGTGCATTATATGATCACATAGACTTAACATTTTTAATAAATAAATAAATAAATCACTAGAATTCATGAAAAAAATAAGTGGATTATGTGCTACCAAGACAAATTTGAAAAGAGCATTCCTAGGGGTACACCAAAAGTGTACCCCAAATGTACATCACCCCTTTCTCCACCATCCATTTTTATTTATTTATTTATTTTTGAATTTTTTGCCCAATTATATGGGCAAGGAGGAGGTGGGGGACAACTAGAATACATCTTTGGTATACCCCTAGTATTTTTAAATTGAAAGTTCTCCCTCACCTGCCCAGCTGCTTAGGGAATTCATGGGGCCGGCCTATCATTGAAACCACCGAGAGAAGTTCTAGAAGAAAGAAAAAGAAAGGCCTTTTAGGTGGAGTGTACAATAATGGGAAGCTGATTGGAGACAACCAAGTCACATTACACACACATTGTGTCCTTGTCCATCTCGAGACAAGTGTTGAGGGCCATCCAGGCCTAATCAATGATTAATCCTCTATCTCATTGCAATTTAAATTGTCTATTTTAATTTACTCCCTTCGTCCGGGAATAATCTTCTCATTTGGACTTTTCTTCATTTTTTAAAGGGTTGACTTTGAGTGTAATTTTCCTAAAATACCCTCCCCTCCTTCCTTACCAGCCCCTGTACAAGAGTCGCCCCAGCCCCTCCTTTACCGCGTGTCACACCACATCTCATTTCTCCTCACCATCTCTGCCACTCCACTACCGCCGGCAACCTCACCATCGGCGGCAGCTCCAGGTTCACCTCCAGCCCCACCTACCCACCACCGTGGTGCAGATCTAAAAGAAGATGAAGAAGAAAAAGACGAAGAAATGCAGATCTAGACTCACATCACCCCTGCCGTCACCGCCCCAATCGCCGCCGCCATCACTGTCACAATCGCCGCCGTCATGCTCAGATCTAGAAGATGGAAGAGATATAAGAAGGGGGAGAAAAAGAAGAAGAAAAACAGAGGGGGGAAGAGAAGAGAAGATGGACGGGGAAGAGGAAGAGAGAAAGAGAAAGAAGAAGAAAAACAGAGGGGGGAAAAAGAAGAGAAGAGGAGATGGGCTGGGGAAAAGGAAGAGAGAAAGAGAAAGAAGAAGAAGAAGAAAGAAAGAAGAAAGAAAGAAAAAAATTGAGAAGTGAGAAAAGGGTGGGGGACGGGGAGGGTAGATCTAGGGAGTTTGAGAGATAAGGGTATTTTTGAAAAAATTGTGGTTAAAATTAGAAATGGGAAGATTATTTCCAGACGGGAAAAAAGGAGAAAGGAGAAGATTATTTTCGGACCGAGGGAGTATGATATTTTGACTAAAATTATTTTCAAATTATTTTATATAAAAAGATTAGATTTGAATTCTTTTAAAATTTAAAAATGTTTTTGGTTTTTCAAAAGATAACATATACGACATCTATACGTCTGAAATTAACAATTTTTTTTGTTATGCAAAAAAAAAAGTAAAAACTTTTTTGAGAACTTCAAAAAATAATAAAAATGAATATCCTATTAGGGCATTTCATATCTACCAATTTTTTAGGCATTCTGAAAATGAGAAATTTATTAAATAGCACTAAAACATAATGACTTTCCCTAAATATCACTACATGAGTTTTTCTTTCCAATGTAGCACTTTTAGTCATTATGCATTCGTCATTATTCAAGTAAATATTCGTCATCACTGGATATTATGGACATTATTATGTGTTATTTAGAGAATAAAACAATTTAAGTGCTATTTACAGAAATGACTTAAGATTTAGTGCTATTTAGTGCAAATATTTCTTCTGAAAATTCCTTTTCGTATAAGATCTTTTTTTGCATGTTTCAATTTTTTTCATTTCTTTTTTCATATTTTTATTTTTTATTCTAGACTTTCTTTTTGAACTTATCAAAAAAAGTATTCTAGAAAACAAGAAGTTTAAATACTTAAATTCACATAGATGGAGTATATGTTAATTTTTTTATTTTTATTTTAAACACAGAGAATTTGGAATTACATTATAAAATTAAAAAGAAAATTTATAAAATCTAGCAAAAGGAAACAAATAGGTAAAAAAAGAGATTAAAAAGGGAAAATAAAAATCAAATAATAAACAAAGAATAAAAATGAACATGAGTGCCCCTTATGATTTAGAAAACATGTGGCAATGCCCCTTCTTTGCCGGAAAAGGAACGGAAAATGATCAAAGGGGTGTGAGTGCAATATTTTGAAATCAGGACTTTAGAAATAAATTTTAAAAACAGAAAAGGTATCAATGCTAATTTTTCAAACCACGGGAGGCACTAGAGTTATTTGGCCTTTGATGCACCAACAGATGTTACTAAGCATCTGCTTACTAGCATGATGATCATTTTTATTTTTTAAAAAATATGGAAAACTAAAGGTTTACATTTTATGGACCTTAGATGAATCCTAGAAGCACTCGACGGGCAAAGCCGAAACTTCAATCAATGGCCAATTACTTTAAATATCCAAGAGACTCATTGCGATAACTTAAATTCAAGATCTCTCGTAGGACATCTTAAGAAAGGAATGTAAGTCAACTCAATTGAGTTACATTTGCTCTAACATGTACACACTACATCGCGCATGGGTGAAATGACAAAAACTTCTTGGAATAAACCTACCTAACATATTAATAACAACAATGTTAGTATACCGCAGTTTTTTGGAAACAGTCTTCAATGTCATTATATGACATTGAGCCATTCAAAGAACCTACAATACTCCATTGGATCTGGGGGAAGGTGCAAGGGGTCGGGGGCTAGGAGAGGTTAACGGGGTATGACCCAATCTTAGACCCAACGCAACACCTTAAGTCCTAAGTGTCATATTATGAAACTCAAAAGGAGATTCAAAATCCGGGAGAATGATTTTTTTAGTGGTATTGATTTCATTATAATGTAGTATCTTTTATTTTTTTTTAACATAATGATACACAATGAACTAATGTTTTGCCTTAGGTGGGGTTCAAAGTTGGGTAAATTTTCTTATGAATATTGAAGAGTGAACTTCAAGCAAAAAAAAGTTTGTGAGGATGCTAATATTATTATTTTTGCTTTTTATCATTCTTAAATAGATTACTAAATATGAATAGTAGATAATTAGTTGTAGACGGTCCATAATGTAAGAATTGACAACTAAATTTGGACGAATAAATTACTCCCTAGTATATTTGAACATTTTTTATATTATCACATTGTTCTCAAAGAAAATTGTACCCTTCTTTAATTTTTTTCAAAAAAAAAAAAGAAAAAAAAGAAGAGAAAATATGCGAGTGATGAAAATAGGGTACTAGCCAGATAAAATGGATGGAGTGAATATTACCTTATTTACTTTGTTTGGTCCACAAATATATTTACTCTCTTTAACTTTAGAAAGATTAAGAAAAATGTTGAAAAGTAAAAATATAAGGAATTTACCTCAATAGTACATAGTACTAAAATATAATGACTTTTCCAATGTAGTACCATATATTTTTATTTTTCAACGTAATACCACTGGACATTGTCTGCTGGTCATTGCTCAAGTAAATGTCCATTGCCACGGGACGTTGTTCAAACTAAATGTCCACCATCACTGGACATTGTTTTTGCCACTAGACATTATTCAAGTACGGAGTACTATTTAAGGAACGGCCCGGTTCCATGGCCACTGGATTCCAGTGGCCATGGAACCGGGCCGTTTAAGGAATAAAAAAATATAAGTACTACATTGGAAAATAACATATGTTTTATATTATTTAAAGGAGAGAAATATTGTGAGACATATTTCTCTTAAAAAAGAAAAACAAAAATAGTGAAAAGTTGGTTTGGGAACAAACAAAAAAGGCATTTAAGAAAACATTGTGGAAGAGGATTCATTATCGCTTTTGCAATAAAAGGTTACTAAGGCTCTGTTCCGTACGCCTGATCTGATTGAATCTGATAAGAATTTTTGAAGTTCTGATCTGATCTGATTGGGTCTGATCTGATCTGATTGGATCTGATCTGATCTGATTAGATCTGATTTTCTCTAATTAGATCTAGTGTAAATGAATTTAAATTTGATTTAAATTAAACTTAAAATTATTACAAAATTTAATAGTTTTAAAGTATTACAATTCATATATACATAAAAAAAGTAAAATAAGAAAATCAACTAATCATTAATATGTTTAAACTTTTTTTAAAAATATTAAATATCTTTTCAATATCACAACTTTTTTAATTTTGTGAAAACTAAATAATCGGTATTAAAATAAACAAATATTAGAAAATATTGATGCTATTCTACAAAATTATCAAATTTTATATACACATTACATGATAATATATTTCATGTTATAAATTAAATATCATATAAAATTTTAAACACTAATATCATTTTCACTTCTATCAATTTTGTCATAAACTCACCCTTGAATATATTGTACCATCTTAAAGTTTAAAAGTAAGTCTTTTTAAGTATAAAATATTTATAGTTTTGAAAAATAAGTTTTGTATAATTATTTTATAAACAAGTATTTTAAAATAACTCTTTTTAAAGTATGAAAAATAAAACTTTTTAAGCTTTAACATTGCTTTCATGCATCATTTCTATCCTACAAGCTAAACAATTATAATAATAATAATAATAATAATAATAACAACAACAACAATAATAATAATACAACAATAATATTTAAAATTATAATATTAATTAAGATTTAGGTGTGTGTAGTTTTAATTAAAGTAATGTGATTTAATCAAATAATAGTAATTATTATTTAATCCTTGAAACATATAAATATTATCTTTTATATTTTTTCTTGATTTGATATTATTGGATTTGATCTGGTCTGATCTGATCTGATTGGATTTGATCTGATCTGATTGGATTTGATCTGATCTGATTGAGTCTGATCTGATTGAGTCTGATCTGATCTGATCTGATCTGATCTGATTAGGTCTGGTCTGATATGATCTGATCTGATTTTAATAAGAATAAGTATTAAGTAGAAAAAATAAGTCTTACGGAACGGACCCTAATTCAGCTTCATATTTGATTATCAAGATTGTATTTATAACTTTTTTTCTGCTTCTACTCAAACAGCTACTCAAACAAGTGACACAAACATATCTAACAACTAAAAATTGAGTGTCAAAGAAGGTGTTTACCTCTTAATAACTTGGAAAGGATTATATGTGTGACATATGCAATTGTATATAGAGAAAAACAACATTCATTTGTGTACTCCAAAATTTTTGTGTGGTGTAAATCTGGTGTGAATGTGGTGTACAACAATAACAAAACCCAGTAAGTTAAGATCCCACAAATAGAGTCACAATTAGATCCAACAAAACCCCAATCAAACAAAGTTTTGTATCAAACCACAAATATTAGATTGCAATTTAAGGATGGCTTCAACACATGCTATATAAAAGGTCATCATGGTTGGAATGAAAATTAATAGGAGAGAGGAAAGGCATTGCTGAAACTAGCAGACTTGATAGAGGAAAATGCAGAACAACTAGCAGCATTGGATACTGTGGATGCCGGAAAACTGTTTACAGATGGGAAGCATATAGAAATACCTTCCGTTGCTGGGACTTTTCGTTACTATGCTGGTGCAGCTGACAAAATTCATGGCACGACCCTCAAGATGTCTTGTGGCCTCCAAGGATATACCTTACGCGAACCCATAGGAGTTGTTGGGCACATTATTCCATGGAATTTCCCGTCTCAGATGTTTGCGATTAAGGTTGCCCCGGCATTAGCAGCTGGTTGTACCATGGTTGTAAAGCCTGCAGAACAGACTCCTCTCTCTGCTCTCTATTATGCTCATTTGGCTAAGCTGGTAATTAAGCTACATGTCCCTTGTCTTAGTGTTTTCCTCATTTTTATCCCATTTTTGGCTCTTAAAAAAGTGTTGTATTTATTGTTCTGAAAACAGGCGGGTATCCCAGATGGAGTCCTCAATGTCATTACAGGATTTGGCCCGACTGCTGGTGCTGCCATTAGCTCTCACATGGACATTGATAAGGTAATGCTTATGCACATTCCGGTTATGTAACCAATAAAGAGGAATTCTTGCAGGGTGAGGGATACGGGAACCATTCATAAGGGAAAGAATCAGTTATGTATATACTTTGTCTTCAGGTTAGTTTCACCGGGTCGACAGAGGTAGGGCGCCTGATAATGCAGGCTGCAGCAACTAGCAATCTGAAATCTGTTGCCCTAGAGTTGGGTGGCAAATCCCCTTTCATAATCTTTGATGATGTAGATGTTGATAAGATTTCAGAACTTGCTCTAAACGGCGTCACATATAACAAGGTAATTTGGAACCCTTCCCTTTAAGTGTTGGCTTTTTTCTTAATTAGGTCACTCAATTAATCCCTTAACAGCTTCAAAAACACATGTATTGATATTTTGACACTTTGCAAGGGTGAAATATGTGTGGCTGGCTCTCGTGTGTTCGTCCAAGAAGGAGTTTATGACAAGTTTGTTGAGAAAGTGGTGCAAAAGGCAAAAGAAAGGGTGGTCGGAGACCCATTCGATCCAAATGTGCAACAAGGACCCCAAGTATGACTCCCCTGGAAACAAAACATTAAAGACTTGTCCATTGTAAAACACACTTTCAATATGGCACTATGATGTAATGTTTCTATTTGATAAAGGTGGACAAGAATCAGTTTGAGAAAATACTATCATACATTGAGATTGGAAAGAAGGAGGGGGCTACATTGCTAACGGGTGGCAATCCAATTCACAGAAAAGGGTACTTTATAGAGCCAACTATATTCACAAATGTCATGGTAAATCTTGTTTTCAAAATATGCTCAAAACATTGTGCCGCCAAGACCTATAATATGTATAAATTCACTCTGTTTTTTTTAATATTACAGGATGATATGCGGATTGCGAAAGATGAAATTTTTGGACCTGTTATGTCTATACTAAGATTCAAGTAAGCTCACTCTCATACTAAAAGGTGCTTTTTAAAAAATGACGGACACGACACCACTTGCAACTTTATCAAAGATATACCATTATTACATAGGAACGCCTGGAGGTTTAGGACTAGAGTCGTCAGGTAGAACTTTGGACCTTACTTTGTAGTTTATGCTAGTGCAGTTCTTGAGTATTAGTCACCCTTTAAAACCTAAGTGTAGGACACTTTGAATATTTTGAGGTCCTGCAGGACTACAGAGGAAGTTATAAAGAGAGCCAATGACACAAAGTATGGACTAGCAGCAGGAATTATGACAAACAACTTCAACACAGCCAACACAGTTTCAAGATCAATAAGAGCAGGCACTATCTGGATCAACTGTTATTTTGGTTTCGACCCAGACTGTCCGTTTGGAGGGTACAAAATGAGCGGCTTGGATAGAGATCTAGGGATGGAAGGCCTTTACAAGTATCTTCAAGTTAAATCGGTTGCTGCTCCGGTTTATGATTCTCCATGGATGTAAACTTTATTTATGCTTCTAAATTCAGTAGATTTTTGCATGAATAAGAGATAATGATGATATAAAACATAAATTATGTACCCCATAATAATGAAATGTTGTAATAACATGATGTTTGTTAAGAGTATCCCACATCGGAAAAGTGTGAGGAAGATAATTGGTATATAAGCTCTTGAGATGAACTAACTAATCGATTGGATTCAATCTTTTAATGCGGTTCAATTTAAGTGTCTTATTGCCCAATCTAGAAGTTTATACCCCATCTCAAATTTTATCATGGTATCAGAGCAGGTTTTGGCCCACCTCGTTTGTCATGGTGTCCGTCTAGACGTTCATTCCTAGCGGCCCGTTAGTCTTTAGCCCAGTTGTCCGTATGGAGTATGTACCCAACGGCCTGTGGCCCGTTTAACCCGATTGCACGTCTGGAAGTCCATACCCAGCGGCTCGTGGTCCTTTGGGTGTTGGCGCTCAAAAAAAAATCAAGGGGATGGGAGTCCATTTGCAAGTGGTCAACCGGTTAGATTCAAAATGGCCCGGTTGTCCACTTGAGGGGGGGTGTTAAGAGTATCCCACATCGGAAAAGTGTGAGGAAGATAATTGGTATATAAGTTCTTGAGATGAACTAACTAATTGTTGGGCCGTGCTCCTTGGACCACACGGCAAGAAGGAGAGCAAATCCCATTCTAAGTGGGATTGCTCTTGATTTGTTTCCTAGTTCATATTTAGTGATTTGTTTCCTTGTAGGAGTAGAATTCCTTTTGTGTTTTGGTCTTTATCCCCTCCTATAAATAAAGGAGAAACCCCTTGTAATTGGTAGAACAATTCAATATACAGAATATTTTCCCTCTTATTAATTTCTACATGGTATCAGAGCAAGATTCCTAGGGAAAAACCCTAACCTAAACATACGACGGTCCATCACGGTCCTCCGCCGGTTCAAGCTTGTCTTCCGCCGGATCACCGACATCGACTGCCGGACTATCCTCCTCGACCGTCGACATGGCAGAAGTAGAAGAAAATCTCGTCGGCAAGCTTTTCGATGAGGAAGAAAAGATCCCTACGAAGGGAAGTTCTTACGAACTCAAGAACGCAGACACACCTGGATTAATTATCACCCAAGTCAAACTAAACGGTGATAATTATGAAGAATGGGCTTGTGCAATGAGAATTGCATTCCGTGCAAAACGGAAAATTGGATTCATCGACGGAGCCATCCCTTGTCCAGAAGAAGGAGATGAAAACTATGAAGAATGGTGGATTGTGAATGCCATGTTGGTCTCATGGATTTACAACACAATTGATGGCAGCCTGAGAAACTCCATCACACAGGTAGAAGAAGCAGCAGAACTATGGAAGGACATCCAAGATCGTTTCTCTGTTGCAAACGGTCCTCGAATTCATCAACTGAAGAAGGAACTTGCAAATTGCAAACAAAACGGTCAGTCCATCGTTACGTACTTTGGAAAATTAAAAACCATATGGGACGAACTCGGTGATCATGAAAAAATCCCCGCTTGCAAGTGCCATGGATGCAAGTGTGGGATAAGCAAAGCGTTTGCCATCCAACGCGACAAAGAAAAGGTTCACCAATTTCTGATGGGATTGGATAACGAAGGATATGGGAGTCTACGATCTAACATCATCGCCACAGAACCCTTGCCACCACTGAATCGTGTATACTCCACCATCATCCAGCAGGAAGGGGTCTTGAAGACTACTCAAGAAGAGGAACGTAACCCGGTGGGCTTTGTCGTCACCTCCAAATTTGACCGTGACGCAACTAAGGATTTAAAATGCAAACATTGTGGGTTGAGCGGACACGAGAAGAGTGGTTGCTTTCAACTCGTTGGATATCCTGAATGGTGGGGAGATCGCCCACGTGTCCTGAACCCAGGACGAGGTAATGGCCGCGGCAACAACATTGGGGGACGGCGCGGTGGCAGGGGGGCAACGCCGGCCGTGGTAACCGCGGCGGAGCTGGTGGCGGTCCAGCAGGCGGACCGGCGGCACACACGGCTCAAGCCAACGCAACGGATGGGGGACGTGCGCTCCATCAACCGAATCTCCCTTCTCTCACAACCAATCAATGGAATGCACTTATGGGACTCTTAAACGAGAATGATTCGGGTATGGAAAGTAAATTTTCAGGTATGACTAACACTTCTTGGATCATTGATAGTGGAGCCAGTCAACATATGACCGGTGATAAGAAGTGCCTTGAAAATTTGGAAGCAATAAAACCTTGCTCAGTTGGCCTACCGAATGGAGATTGTGCAATAGCCAACCAAAAGGGGAGTGTGATTGTGGAAAATGTTTTGCTAGTTCCTCAACTCAATTGCAATCTTATATCTGTCTCACAACTTCTTGAGAAAAAGAATTTAATTGTCAAGTTTAATAATAAAATTTGTATTATACAGGACTATATCTCGAAGATGGTGATTGGAATGGGTGAGCAGGCTGAAGGACTATATTATCTCAAGAAAGGTGTGAAGGACAAAGTCTGCACTGTGAAGGAGGCGAAGGATCTGGACATTTGGCACAAGCGCTTGGGTCATCCCTCTTACACCACTGTCAACACTTTTCTCCATTTACCCAAAAATACCAATATCCCTGATTCCCCTTGTGATGTGTGTTTTCGTTCAAAACAATGTCGTGACTCTTTTCCAATTAGT